TGCCATCACCAGTGTGTGAATGGGTGGATGACTGGTTGTGTAAAGCGCTTTGGGGTCCTTAGGGACTAGAAAAGCGCTATACAAATACAGGCCATTTACCATTTAGCTTAGCAACACAGTCCTGTCAACTACTAAACTACTGACTAGACTCAATATTTAGAAGCAAAGTGAATACATTTAGCTCAAATGAAATTGCAAGTTTTACACTTACATCTAGTTATATTCAGAAATGAATGAGTCATTGCAACATTTTGGCTGCTGTTAGCCTGCCAGCTGCCCAGTATTGCAAACATTTACAACTTGCCAAGCGTTTGACCACACATAATACTAAAGCCTTGTACACTGTGATGACTGGAAATCTTAAAGACTGCACTCTGTCAGCATTACATACAGCTTGTAACTAGTGACTGACACCATAAAATCATCAGGAAAGTGTTTACTTAGTTTTTTATGCACTTTTTTTAGCAAGAGAAGTTGCTTGCTGTTTTCCATTGGAAAGAAACCAGTTTTAATGCAATGTCCATAATAACTTTACTTTTCAGACCCAGAGGCTTCATCCATATTTTATATACTACATCGTGTGATTGTTATTGGATGAGAATGAGTGCAGGCAGGCTGCAGCTATCATGTTAAGGTTGTATTTAATTGACATTTCCAGCAAATAGCTTCACATCACGGTCCGCCTACACACCAGTTTTTATTTTTGTTGTTAGAGTGAATAGCTGTCGTCTAAGGGTTCAGGTGACAAAAACAGACATGCTTTGATTGACAGTTACTTTACTCGCCTGGATCATCGGGCACGTTCCAGGACCAAACCAGCACGGTGCCAGTTTGTACTCGTCGAGTATTCGTTTCAAATTGGTACACAAATACTGGCCATTTACTACCTTTAATGATCCATCTGAGCAGCATGTAAACAAAATACTATGTGTGCCCTTTTATATAAATATATTTCAGATGGTTTTCAGTGGCTGATTCCGAGTAGAAAAGGCTCTGCAGGTTTCTGCAAAAACGTAGTTAACTGCAGCCACTATTACTATCTGCTGCTGTCTATTAATGCTGGCATACTTTATACACCACTAGCAGTCACACTTCTAGGTTTAGACTGATTTGACACTAGATCACATGACACAGACATTAGAGTAGGTCTGTAACGTTTACAGCCACAGTCATTTAAAACGCCTACATGGGTGTGCAGTGTTTCTACTTTACCCGTGTATTTTCGTGCTGTGGCTTTGAACAGGGTGCAGCTGCAGTGTTTCTGCTGTCTTGACCATACAGGTCTTTAAAAGATTCAGCTTACAAACTTAGTCTGCATCACATATCCAATGTGAGGTGCGATCGAATCTTTGCTGTAAAAAACACATTTTGGCCGATCTCCCCTTGGAGGTTTCCCTCCTTGTGCAGTTCTGGACTGCTTCCAGCACAGCTGTCACTCCATGGAGGTCCCATTCTCTGGATGTGCACTATGTAATTTCACCATGGATCAGTTTTCATGTTGAGAATTCTTTCCTCAGGGTCAAACACTTATTTGAGTCTTGGGTCATCACTAAACCTGCTCGTCACATTTGACTATCTGCAGCTTCATTCTCGCTCAGCAAATTTAATCCCAGTTGCAGCTTCTGTTTTGACACGCTGAATGCACATCACAGAGGCACATGTGCAAGGCGACAGGATGAAGCAATCTAAAAAAAAACCATAATCAGCTAGATTTAATCAGATAATGTTGTTGAATTTTACGGCTGAAGTCATTAAACTTAAAGATCACATTTTGTACACTACTGCCTGCAGAAACGGAAAAGTTAGTGCATGCTTTTTTTTCTTTAGTAGACTGGATTTCTCCTCCTCAGTCCAAATTTAAAATCTCCACATGAACCGGCTGACGGGGTTTTTGTTGTCCCTTTCTGGCCTTGTAATAAGTCTGTGGTTGCTTGAGTGCACAGTGTGGGATTGTTAGATTTCTCTCTATAAGACTTTCTATGTAAAGTGACCCAGAGTGACATCTGTTAGTTGGTGTTACGTGAATAAAATTCCAAAGGATCTCTTTGATCTTCTGCCACAATCCTTTAAGCTGATTCCTGAGTTCAAAACTAAAAGGCAAGTTAGCCGCCGCTAA